TAGGCATGAAAGCCATATAGGTGGACTTTGGACCAGTCACCAGGAGACGGGGAGTTCTAGTCTTGCCTTAGCCCTGAAAACTAGCTGGGTAACCTTGAGCTCATCCATCTCAGCCCAACTCACCTCGCAAGGTTGTCGTTTTTTTGGGGTGGGGTTAAAATAGGAGGAGGAAAGCCCGTTGGATACATTAGCCCCCTTGAAATGACTTGGAAACATAATAAAGGCGGGGATGACAGATAAAATTAGATTTTTACAAAGACCCCTTAACAGCCAATCCGATCTCGTGTGGCAGGTCCCCAAATAGTTTAGAATTATTTGCAAAAATGGCCTTTTTTTTTTTCCTTTCCCCCACCCCCGCTCTCCAACCTGGCCTTTCTCCTCCCTCCTCCTCCTCATTTTATTTTCTCTTTCTCTTATTTTATTTTATTTTTGCAGACGAGCATAAAAAATATGGAGAGAGAACTGCTGTGCCCGGTCTGCAAAGAAATGTACAAACAACCTCTGGTTTTGCCGTGCATGCACAACGCCTGCCACATCTGCGCCACCGAAGTCCTGCTCCAACAGGGCTACATCTGTCCTGATCCGACTTCGGAGCCCACCTCCCCGGCGTCCACTCCAGCCACGCGGAGTCCTCGTTTGGGGCGCCGGATCGTGCCAAAACCGGAGCGCCTGGACCGGCTTCTAAAATCAGGTTTTTTTATTATTATTATTTTGGGGGACTTCTTGGAAAATGCAGGCGGTCCTTGACTTACGACAGCAATTGGATACCCCGACGTTTCTGGCACTAAGTTTAGACAGTCGTTAAGTGAGTTGTGCTCTGTTTGGCGGCATGTTAAATGAATCCGCGCATTCCATCGATGTTTTCGAAGATAGTAACCAGGAGACTGAAGTTTCTGTTGTGCAAAATTCTAACTGGAGAGCATGATTGAGGATTCTTGGCTATGGAGGTGTCCCATTGGAGAATATAAATTAGGATACACCCAAGGGGTTCGGGGTGTGTGTGTGTGGAAAAACGGGGCCAAGGATGACAATTATGTGTCTTTCTAGAGTTGGTTGCACCCAGACAGTGCTGGCATGTTTACTCTCAATAAATCCTTCTGAAGTTTTGAAAATTTGACTCGAGACTCAGGATTTAATTTGGGGTGGAACTGCCGGAATCCTGACACCATAGTTAAGTCAGGAACGCGAATCTGGCTTCCCCGTTTGGCTTGCAAAAGGAGGCCGCAAAAAACCCGCCACAACCTCGTCATAAACGAGGCGGTGGCCAAGCGCCTGAATTTTGATCACATGATCACAGGGATCCTAGGGAGAGGCAGATATTTTTCTCACTCTGGGCACTCTTGAGAATGTATCTGCTGGGGTGGGGGGAGAGAAAAAACTCCGCTCTGGTGACAGGAAGGGCATCCGGCCAGTAAAACACTCGGCTCCATTCAGTTGCCTAGACTCCACCCCACAAGGGATTATCGGGGGTCGTTCAAAGAGGATAGATCGCAGGGATGCTGCCACGGCGTAAGTGTCACTTTTTTTCACCGCCGTCGTAACTTCAAACGGTCGCTAAACGGAGGACTTAGCTGTATACAGTCGCCAAGTGTTGAGAGGGCACAATCTTGAGGGCGCCAAGTCCACATTTGGACAGGAACCCGGAACCAAGCCCAAAGCAATTGTGGAGAGAAAGAGAAGTTCCAAGAATGGATCTTTTCACCTGACTGCTTAAGAGATAGACTGCTGCTGCTCATGGCAGTTCACTTTTTCCTCCTCGATCAATTTCCTAAGTAACATTTATTTCTCCTTTTTTTAATCCTCCTCCTCTTTTCATGATCCCATAAGTCCTTGCGTTGGGGTGGAGTTCGGGGGCAACGGAAGGGAGATGAGTGTTTTTACTGGCCGACTGCCCTTCCAGTTTCCGATGAGGAGTTTTGTCCGGCAGATATATTCTCATCGTGCCCAGAGAGAGAAATATCGGCTTCTACCGCCGCCTCCTGATTGTGAGGCCGCCGCAGCGCGCCATCTTTCTCCTTCGTAATCATGTCCCCCTCCCCCTCTTCCCTACCAACCCAGGTTTTGGCACCTATCCCGGCCGGAAACGGGGTAACGCCTTACACCCGCAGAGCGTCCTTTTTCCGTGCCCGCTGTGCCAGCGAGACGTGGACCTGGGCGAGCGAGGTTTGGGAAGCCTCTTCCGGAACCTGACCCTGGAGCGGGTGGTGGAGCGTTACCGCCACACCATCAACGTCAACGCGGCCATCATGTGCCAGTTCTGCAAGCCGCCGCAACTGGAAGCCACCAAGGGCTGCACCGAGTGCAAATCCAGCTTCTGCAACGAATGCTTCAAGCTTTACCACCCGTGGGGGACGCAGAAGGCGCAGCACGAACCGATCCCTCCCACGCTCACTTTCCGTCCCAAAGTAAGTCTCCCCTCCTCTCGCTTTCGGGGGGCTCAAAATCTGCCCCCCCTCAAATTTTCTTTCCTGAAGACTAGACCTCCAAGGTCCCCTCTTTGCTACGGCTGCATCTATTTTTATTCCTTAGATTTGAAGGGAAACATTCGTGTTTGTATTCCTGAAGGTTCATATCCTCGCTTTCGTTCAGGAAGTATGCAGGTTGTCCTCGTTTAGTGGCCACGCTTGTTGCCGTTTAATGACCCATCTTGTGGGGTGGAGTCTGGACAACTGAACGGAGCTGAGGCGGAGTTTCCCCCCCCCCCATCCTCCTCCTCTTTTAATGATCCCATAATTCCTTGCCTTGGGGTGAAGTCGGAGGAACTGAATGGTGCTGAGTGTTTTTACTGGCCAACTGCCCTTCCAGTTTCCGATGAGGAGTTTTGTCCGGCAGATACATTCTCATCGTGCACACACAGAGAGAGAGAAATAATCTGCCTCTACTCGGGATCAAACTCACTGCCTCCTGATTGTGAGGCGTGAGCTCCACCTCTAGGCCAACGCACTCCTCGTTTAGTGACCACGCTTGGCGAAGTGAAAACCGCAACTGACGACCTTCCACTTTCTTTTGCTTTAACCAAGGTCACAAAACGCGAGGATTGGTCCGTCAGATTACTTTGCGACCGGCGTCGCAACTAAGAACGGTGGCAGGACGAGGCCGTCGCTAAACGAGGACTCCCTGTGTAGCGTTCTTGCTTCCTGTTTTTTTTTTCCTGATTCTCTCTCGCCTGCACAAGTTGCGGGTCAAAGTTGTGCGAAGCGCTCCAGCTGCCTTCGGTTTGTCTCCTTTTTCAGGGCCTGCTGTGTCCCGAACACCGAGAAGAAGTCACTCATTACTGCAAAACCTGCCAGCGGTTGGTGTGCCAGTTGTGCCGAGTTCGTCGCACACACACGAGTCATAAAATCACGCCTGTGCTCAGCGCCTACCAGGCTCTTAAGGTGAGCATTTTGGAGAAGCTCCACCGTTTTTCCCCCGTCTCCGGGTCATCAAAGTTTAGTCGGCCACCAAGTAGAAAGTCGGCTTGCTGTCAGAATTCCAGCGAATCGCCCCAATTAAATCATGATTCTCAAGCCAAGATTATATATGTATATATGTATATATATGTATTTGTATGTGTGCATGTGTGTGTGTGTATATATGGATCTTTGGTTATTCGGGTTTTCTCCCGCGTAAAATTGGAAGTATTTTGGTGATGTTTCGACGAAATCTCATTTGTCATCTTCAGGCTTGTGTCTTCGGCTTTGTGCTTCTTGGAGCACAAAGTACCCTTCTCCAAGAAGCACAGAGCCGAAGACACAAGCCTGAAGATGACGAATGAGATTTCGTCAAAACGTCGCCAAAATACTTCCAATTTTACGTGGGAGAAAACCCGAATAACCAAAGATCCACATACAAATACCCTCAAAAACCTCAGAAAACAAATATATATCTGTGAGCCTGACTCACACATGAACACTATACAGAAGCCTGATGATGGCAGATGAGATTCTGCTGAAACGTCGCTACAACTTTAAAAGCACAACTACAATGACGTGGGAAAATACCCAAACAAAGCTGAAAGCCATACATGTAAGTACCCATGAAAACTTAAGAATATATATATATATATATACACACACACACACACACACACACACACACACACACACACAGATACACATACACATACATACATACACATACACATACACATATATATACATACATATATACATATATATACACATACAGAGAGAGAGAGAGAGAGAAAGAGGGGGAGAGAGGGAGAGGGAGAGAGAAAGAAAGGGAGATAGAGAGAAAGAGAAAAAGAGAGATGAAGAGAGAGAGAGAGAGCGTGTTAGCCTGCTTTAGCTTGGCCAGAGTCTATCCCCGGGTGGGAAAACGCTAAATAAATCTTCTTGGAAGGATCGCAGAGGGTTTTCCTTTGGGTTTTTGGAGCCTGCTAGAGATCAGGGATCTTTAGGATCGCAGCCTCCTCACATTTGCTTCCCTGTTGTTGTTGTTTTTTCCTCCTCGCTCGCAGGAAAAGTTGACGAAAAGCCTAGCTTACATCCTGAGCAATCAAGACACCGTGCAGGCGCAAATCAACGAGTTAGAAGAGACCCTTCGGCTCACGGAGGTAACGTTGCTTTTTGGTTGCCATTTTGTCCGAAGTGAGATCAGGTCGCCTTGCTTGATCCAGGGGCTGGACTAGATGGCCTCTAAAGCCCCTTCCAGCTCTATTCCGATTGAAGGGTAGGAATAAGTCGAGGACGACCCGTATCCGTTTTTTTTTTTTTATCCGACGCTGGTTTAATCCGATATATAGTATTTGACGGGCAAAATGGCTGAAGGGAGGAAGGAACGAGCGGGTCCCCCCCACCCGCCACCCCGCGTGGTCCAGTTGTCCAATGTCCCCGCAGGTGAACGGCACCCAGGCCAAGGAAGAGATCGTCAGGCTGATGAACAATTTGAGCAGCCTGCTGGAGGAGAAGCGAGCCGCCCTGCTTAACGCCATCGAAGATTGCCGCCAAGACCGCGTCCGTCGCCTGCAAACCCAGCTGCAGGAACACCAGGCCATGATGGAAAATTCCGGAATGGTGGGCTACGCGCAGGAGGTCTTGAAGGAAACCGACCAGCCCTGTTTCGTCCAGGCCGCCAGGCAGCTTTATCACAGGTGCGTTCCGACGAAAAACAGCGCCCCCCCCCAAACCCCATTGGGGAGACAGGATTCGCTTAACGGCCATCTGATTCGCTTAACAACGATACGATCCCGCCGTCGGTGATTGCGGTAAGTCATTTCGTGGTCTTGATTCACTTAACGGCCGTCTGATTCACTTAACAACGGTATGATCCCGCTGTCAGTGATTGCGGTAAGTCATTTTGTGGACTGGATTCACTTAACGGCCATCTGATTCGCTTAACAACGGTACGATCCCGCCGTCGGTTATTGCGGTAAGTCATTTCGTGGTCTGGATTCACTTAACAGCTATCTGATTCACTTAACAATGGTATGATCCCGCTGTCAGTGATTGCGGTAAGTCATTTTGTGGTCTGGATTCACTTAACGGCTGTCTGATTCGCTTAATAACAGTACGATCCCACTGATGGTGATCAGGGTAAGTCATTTTGTGGGCTGGATTCACTTAATGGCCACCTGATTCGTTTAACAACTGTACAATCCCTTGGTCTTTAAGTCCCGGTGGTCATAAGTCGAGTCGGACCTGATCTGATGACAATTTTTAACAGCAATAAAAATTATCCAGTCAGGTCTGACTCGACTTACGACCGCCATGAATTAATAGTGGAAATTTCAGACCCAATTGTGGTCATAGGTTGAGGACTGCCTGTACAAGGCAAAGGTTTTATGTCTATAGTTAGTCCTCGGCTTAACGACAATTCATTTAGTGACCGTTGAAGGTTATGGCAACACTGAAAAAAAAAAAAAGGGATGGATTTTCAGACTGGTCAATATTCGGAGGTTGGGCCACAGATTCGTGTTCATGACGGTCGCAATGATCCCTGTTTTGCGACCATCGGACGAGCGAAGTCAACAGGGGAAGCCGGATTTGCTTAGCGACCGTGAGACTCACTTAACAACTGCATCGATTTACTTAAAACCACCGGGGCAAGGAAAATGGCTCCAAATTACCGCGACAAACGTCTCATTTAGCGACAGGCTTGATTGTGGTCGTATGCCGAGGACTTCCCGTACACTATAAATGTGGGTGGATGTCTCTCGCAACCCAGTAAGCGATGGTGGTTGATCTATACATTCAGGGAATTTCCCCCTGATTATTTTATTTTATTTTATTTTATTTTATTTTTTTCTTTATCTCTCTCAACTTGGCTGCTCCGGCCGGCCGGCAGGATCCTGAGAGCGACCGATTCCCTTCAGGCGTTCCGGCCAGCGGCCAGCGCCTCCTTCAGCCAATTCCAGGTGGACATCAGCCGAGAAGTGAAGCTGCTTACGGACCTCATTTTTATTAAAGGTGTGTAAAACAGCCGTCTTTAAATGAGGCTTGGAGACGACCCCAAATTATAATTTTTCCCCCCCCTCCAAAACATTAAAATGGCAGCTTATAGATTCATTCCCAAGTTACGGCTGCCGTTTCTGACGCCCTCTTTCCCAAGTCTCTTAACAGGCAGTCCTCATTTAGCGACTGCCTCATTTAGCGACCATGACGAGAAACTACCTTCGCAACCACTGAAGACCTTCGCGGGTCTTGTAAACGCGAAGTAAAACAGATCATTAGCACGGTCGGTGTTCTACTTAGCGACTGCCTTGCTCAGCGGCCCTGTGGTTGGTTCCCATTGTGGTCGCTAAGCGAGGATGACCTGTAAATGGCAGGCATGCTTGGTGGTTGCCAAGATAGTTTCAGAGTGCTTTGCATAGGGTTGTAAGTAGTAGCTTGTAGTAGATAAATTTTGTTTCCCAATTTTGGCGATTTTAAGGTGTAGGGACTTCAACTCCCAGAATCCCCTAGCTAGTGTGCCTCAAGATGGGTGGACTTCAACTCCCAGAATTCCCCAGCAAGCCATGTTGAAGTCTATATATCTTCCCCGGTGACTGGGGGATTCTGGGAGTCGAAGTCCACCCCTCTTAAAGGATGCCAGCTGGGGGATTCTGGGAGTTGAAGTCCAGATA